ACCCATTCAAATGATCAGAATCAGGTGGACGTGCAGACAGACAAATGTCCAGAGGTGCTACATCTAATTGCCAAATAAAGATAGATTTTGCCCCTGAGCTATATTGCCATGGAGAATGAAGATTTACTCTTTGGCTACTCCGTGCCAAAGTGTCACCGTTGGCTTGGAAGACAAAATGTGAACCCTGGTCTCCTAATCCATTGTCAGAGGTGTATCTTTTGAGCTACTCTGCTGTGGAAAATTGCATCCAAAAAACGTTTACTGCTGGGTGAAACTTGTACATGGTCTTTAGAAAGAAACAATACTGGGCGTTGAATACATACATTGCCCAACAATATAATAATAATAATAATAATAATAACAATAATTTGGTGATGTTTTCTTAAAAATGTGATATATGGGAAGTAACATATTGATGTTTAGGCAAAGAAATCTTATTGAGTTTGTTTGATCGAATTGAGCTATGAAAATACATGAATAACTCTGAAAACATGAGTAACTCTCTATCACTGTTTTTGTAAAAAATAGCTCCTGGAGAAAAAATGGGGTGATAAAAAAAATTTCTGGTGCTTACATAACGGAATCTACGTGGTCGGCTTTTATGGCATTCAATAAGAAACTATGTATAACTGAACATTTGTTTCTTTGTTCACATGTACAATATCCGTTTACCTGTACAGACACATACATGATATAATATTAAAATGTCGACAGATTTTATATCTATCTATTATAGATTCTATTATAGATTATATATATATATATATATATATATATATATATATATATATATATATAGTTTTGCCAAATTCACCTGTATATAAACTACTTGTCGTAATCTGAATGTCAGAGTGACGTGAATGCAGATACATTCAGACGGATGTCCTTTTCCTCAAACGGACGTTCCACACGGTTTAAATTATCTTGTGTTTTCCAAAAATTAGTGATGAATTGGCTCAATATCTCTAACTAACCGACCATGTTTTAGTGGATCAACAACAACAGTCTTGCGCCTGTTACTTCCGGACGCACATTCGCCATGATTGGATTTCCGACCAAACGCCCCGCCTTCAAAACATTATCCAGAGCTCTGATTGGCTCTTGCTCTTTTTTCATTCTATCGCCCCTTATCCCTTCATAACTTTCTGTTTACGTAGTTTTATTCTTCTTGAGCCTTTGGCGAGAACTACACTCTAAGAAAATAACAGGTTTTCAGACATTAGTTTAATGTCACATTGGTTAATAAAAGAAGTGACAATTGTTTTAAAGGCTTTAAAAATAAATAATGAAAATGTATTTTATATAAAATAAACTTAAAAGATTATGTTAAAGGGATTAGTTGTTAAGTATTTCATTATTATAAGGTTACTTATTTTGATTGATATTGACTTAACCACAGTCTACAAAACACCTCAATAAAATCTCTAAAGAGTTTCCAAAGTGTTTTTACATGTATCATGCGGTATGACAGAAAAAATTTAAATTATTTCTACCTGTATATTTCTAGTTGCATGTAAATGAAGATGTTTTCTAGTAGTACAGCAGTACAGAAATTATGAAGAGTCTCCCTACAGGTGGGTGTTATGGTGGGGAGTTGACATCCAAATATGACATTCCTTCTTGTGGAAGTATGTGTGGGAAGGGAAAATGATGTCAAAACAAAGGCAGCAGTAAACACACAAGTGAATGACCTGAGAGACGTTAAAAAAAAAATCACTTTTTGTCTTTTAAACCTGCACCGTGCCTCAATACTGATAATCAAACATGACAGACCTACTGTTCTACTGGAGAACCCCCTCTGTTCTCCCAGTGTGTGAGTGATTCAAAGCTGTCCTTTTGTAGATCCTTTCCAGGTGCTACATTGGGGATGTGTAGTTTTGGTCAGGAGCTTTCAGAAACCAGGAAGCGCTCCTTTTGATCCGGAACTATGAATCCATCCTTCTGTTCACTCTCTCTCCTGTCTGACATCACAAAAGTCTGTTTGGGGTCAATGACCACAGCACTGTCTTTGTTCAGGCCCGCACACCCCACCTCCTTGTATGAGGGGCGACCAGATCCTCGTCTGAACTTCATGATTGGCCAATGGGTCGGTCGCCGCTGTGCATGGAGGACATAAGATGAACTGCAGTGATTAAAGTTCACACAAGGGTGAGTTAAAGTTCCATTACAATAAAATGAAATATAATTCATCGTGTTTTAGTTAAACAACTGGAACATGTCGGGAACAAGTCTCTCTTGGACAAGTTTGATCAATGTTTTTAACCCTTAAATTAAAAAATATTTTCTATACATAATTGTCTTTCCATTTTGTCTTAGAATTTTTCGACTCACCCTCACTGTGTGTTGCAAATATGTTTTTAATTAATTTTCAAAAACCAATACAATAGCAGAATATTTATTTTTTTAAATAGCTTCTCAGTAGTGATAAATATTTATTCTATTACCCAAAACTATAAATCGTTTTTTATTAATTTATAGTTTCAGAAAAAACAAAATAAAAATAAATAATATGATTTTTTAAAAATAATAGTAAATAAAAACATTTTCATCTGAAGAGAATGAGTGACAAATGTGAGGATTTCATTCGTACACACGTGAACACTGACCTCTATGAAGAAGAGGCTGAGGCTGGAAGTCGGATGGTGGTATATATGAAGGGACAGGAGGACAACTGTAGCCATGACGACCATCACTGTGACGATTGCTGTCAGGAGGCCAATCTGCAGCTGCTCCTCACTCTCTCTTAGATCACTGTGGTTGCCTGGGGATTTTTGCTATCTTAAATATTTTTGAAAACATTTACTGATTGTGTCTATTTTTATGGTAACTTCATCAAGTACTTTGTTTAACTTTCTATATTCCTTTTTTTCTAATTTCAAAATATCTTTGTCTATCTTGGTTACATTTTAGCTCTTTAGGCTAATTTTGCATCAATCTAGGTTAACTTTTAACTTTTTGGCTATCTTTTAAATAATCTAACTAACCTCTGCCAAGTCTTTTTCTCTATTTGTGCAAAACTTCTAACTCCTAATTTTCTTACTAATAATTCAATCTTCCTACCATTTAGGCTTTTTTAGGATAAACTCCAGGCTCACATTGACCTATTTTTGACTATGTTTTCATTACATTTTAGCTAACCTCCACCTAGTACTGTTGGTTAACAATGTTTCAATTTGTCAAACAAATCTAGGTTGACAATTAGATATATAAAAACAATTTTTTTAAACAATATTAGCAATAAAATATAAACTTATTTATTTTATTACTACCAAAATGTTTTCCCTTACACTACCCATGTATTCTACTCCTCCATCCCCAATACCCCCCAACACCCAGCCCCTCCACCTCCCACACCCACCGAGTGTTAAACTTATACTGAGTGGCTGAGGACAATATGAACTGTCTAAAATGTGCTCTATACACTGAGCAATGATTTAACACAGGCCTGTGACATAGCTGACCACCTGACCCTCTCAATGCAAGAACCCACACAACAAATAGAGAGTAATGGTCTTCACCTACTTTACAACAACAACAGTACACGTGGTAGTAGTACTATTGTGTGTGTACTTTTTGAACATCTGTTTACCCACCTTCTGAGAGTCCGCTGGCAGCAGAGGGTGGGGGAGACGTGATGCTGGCTGTGTAAGGATTCATCACTGTGGCGGTCCTGGAAGGGGGGTCAGAGGTCATGCTGAAGGCCCGCCGCTGCACTGTAGCAGTGGTGACAGCGGTGGTGCTGGTGTGCATCAGGGGGCCAGATGTTTTGTTTGCGACGTCTGCAGGTCGGAGACAGCGTGGATCCCGTCTCTTGTGGTAAACAATTTGTTTCATTGTTAAATCAGAGGCAGACAGAAATATGAATAAGTTCTGACCACTGAAGTCCAAACCTCCTCTGGACAGCCCAGGTCAACCCAGTCCTGACGGTTACGATCAAAGCCGCTGGAGCATCTGAGAGCAGAGGTAAATATTGAAATTTACAGCAGGGCGAGCTTTCACACCAGTACGCTAAAGGGAACATTTTTTTTACACAGTGATTTATATTTGACTATAGGTCAATATTTTTCTGAAATTTTTGGCTGTGCAAATCATCAAATTTGGGGAAAATACTTATTATACTTAATAATAATCTGGTTTTAAGGTATTTAGAATGTTCTCCAGAGAATAAAATCTTTTTTTATTGTCAACAGATTTAAAATCAAAACAATCAAAAATTCTGGCAGAAGTAATGACAAAACCTACCTACTAATAATTACTAAACATAATTTGACAACTCTTTTGATATCTTGGCAAATGTGTGTGATTTTAAAGGGTAATTTCTAATATAATGGTGTAAATAATTGAACACAAGTTTGTGATTTCTTCTGCATATATAGGATTGAAGAAAATCTAAGCTTTACTACAAAAAAAAAAACACTTAATGGAATGTGATTTCTTAATGCTTTGTTTACCGTTGGAGACGACTGCACCAGCTGCAGTTAAAGCCAATCTGAGAAGTCACACATGGACCACAGGTGGAGAACTGCAGACAGGCTGGAAAAGAGGAAACAATGGATAATAAAATAAATAAATAAATAAGGTGGAAAAACATTTTACAAAACCAAGGTGTGGTGTTTTACAAGACCTATGTGAATGGGTGGACTTACTAGGGAGTGGTATCATCTCCACTGATGTCAAGTTGGAGATTTTGGACTTGATGATTTCAACCTTGTGATACTCATAGATGGTTCTCCTCCGAACATCTGGAACACGTCACAGAAGATTGTGTAGGTGTTTCTTTTTTTGTGGTTAATTTTGTGGTAAACGGTTTTCTGGACAAATCTGTATCTTACTGGGAATCTGCTCTAGTTCATGTAGCACAACAAAAGCGTCTGACAATCCCACTTTGACAGGATGGTTCTCAGTGCTGATGTCGCTGATGTCAATTGGAATCTTAAAAAAAAAAGAAAAACAACTTAATTTTTTGTAAAAACAGTTTCTGTACGGAAAACAGAAGAAGATTCCTCTCCACCTCTCTGTATGCAAAGATGATCCGTCCATCGCTGTGCAGGACAGCCTGGAAGGTGAAGGTTCCTAGACTGACATTCAGGAGATGGATCTGATTCCACTGGACCACTAACGCAGTTCCTAAACACAAGCCATTGACACATAAGCAGAACAAATTCAAGTAAAAATACAAAATAAATTAAAAACAATACTACAGTAACACTGAAAAAAAGTGCTGAACTTATTACCATTGTCAATGTAAAACACACTTGAGTTTCTGGACAGACTGGGGTCAAAGTTAGCCATGAGTGGAGCGATGTACTGAGTGGCCGTCAGCAGCCGGTGGATCAAATCTCCTGTGTAAATAAAACCTGCAGGACAAAAATAAAAAGACTGAAACAAATTATAAGAACAGTTGATGTCATGATGATACTGATGTCATATTTTTTCATTTATGTACCAGTTGTATGTACATCAAATACTAATAGGATACTGCCTTAAGTCGCTTCCTGTGGTACGTTTTCCAATGTTAGTACAAGTACTTGAATGAAGTATGAGTACCGTTACAGAGAAGGATTCAGATTAAAGCACACTCCCTTGAACCACCATTTTAAGAACTGCTCCGTAATTTAAATAATTATTCTGATAATAATTTGTGTAAATTATCAGTCGAGTCTAAGACTATACATTTTTTTCTTTCATGAATCTGAAGCGGTGCAAACATTTGTGAATTCACTGTGGAACTTCCTGTCACTGACTCAGATGAACTGCTGTGAAGAAATAGGTGTTGGTTCCATTTCCAAAGCATGAGTTTAGTTCAGTGGGAATTACTTTTCTGTGAATGATTACGATTTATTAAATTAAAAAAAAAAATTGTCCTATCAGAATGTGGACCTGTTTATCTGTAATCTATTCTGGACAAACGTATTCTGTGACTCACCTCCTGTTGTCACTGTAACTTCCTTCAGTATGTGTCCATAGAAGGGAAAGCCAAAGGAAAGATTTACCCTCTGGAAGCAAACACAGACGTAGTCAAACATCAGCAGAGTGTGAAAGATGGTCAGTGGCCACCGTTACATCAGTGTTTCCCACAGGCTGAGAATGCACCTGTGGAAGTGCAGGGAACGTCCACTCACTGACACAGAAGGAGGTCGAGCCCACATATTAGTAGAGTTGGGAAGTATCATATGTAAGTTCTTTTAAAATCCTTAGGACAAATTTGAGACAATAAAACAAAAACATTAGTGGTCAGAGGATTGGACTTGTATTTAGAGGAATGCTGGTTTGAATCCTGTGACTGGCGTTGAGCAAGTGCAAAAGATCTTTACTAAAAATCAGTTTCTGAATTTATTAAAGGCAGAAATATACAACTATTTACATGTCTGCCGATTTATATATGAATATATTTTTTTATTCAATTATTAGAGTCCAACAGAGATGACGGCAGCAATGAGGAACTCTATCAACAACCTAACAACAAAGAAATAACCAATTCAATATAAATATTAAAAAACTACCTTTAATGTAGACTTTAATCATAAAATGCCTTTCTGCTCTGTGGCCCTGCCCAGTTTTCTCTTGGGTCATATTTCTTTCTGATACTACAGGGAGATGTATTTGGAGATCACTGCTCTTACTCTGGGACAAAGTAGGTTCTGCAGGACTCAGACTGTTTCAGCCCAGGTTCAGGTTTAGTTCAGGGTCTGGTTTTTCAAATCACTGCTATCTCACAATAGTGTTTTATCATCTTCTTTTTATCATCTTACATTAAATATGTTCTAAGTCCAGTATCATCTACAGTAATATCTCTGTGGAGCGTTACAGCTGCTCCTACAGACTCTGATCTTTGACTTTGTCACCTAGACCATGACGTCCTACCTCAGCCTGTCTGGAGGTGTTGGACAGGAAGCCACGGACCCTCCACTCCCCCTCCTCCATTTGGTCCACATTCACCCAATGCTCTTTTCCAGCTACGTCTCCCAGACCATAGGTCTTAGACGTGTAGTATGTGTGATCAGTGTCCTGGTATGAAATAACAGAGTTTTCACTGTTAGATTTATCTGATCCTACAACAGTCTTTATTTAACTTTTCTACATAAAAAATTAAGAAACAGAGGTTGGCCTGCTGGACATTAAAGGGTTTGAAGTGAAGTTTAAACAATACTAAGTAGAATTTAAAAGATATCATGTCTGCAGCACAAATCAATTATAAAATTGACATTTAATTTTAATTAATTAAAGATATCTGGGATTAAAATTAGCATTAGATTTTTTTGAGTAAATATTCAACACATTTGTACAAAATAAAGTAGGGGAAGAACACTTCTGCTCCTCTCTTTATGTACATTGCTAATTTTATTTTAGCACAAGTGGGTATTTCAGAAGTAGTAATTGCTCTTGATGACTATTTCAAGATATTGATTTTTTTTGTTTTAGTCTGTTTAAAAAAAAAATTACAAAAAGAGCTGCAGAAAAAAAAAAGAAAACTCACCACAATCTGTGAGGTATTGTCATGACTCTCCTCCATCATCAGGTCAACATCGGACTCCTCTGTTTGGTGCTGGTCTCTGTAGTGGTTCCTCTTGTCTGCAGCATACCCAGGGGCCCTCGACAGGGGCCTGGATGGCCACATCCAGGCCCTGGACGTGGGTCCTTGCAGCCCACTCTCTGCATGAGGAGGCTCTTGTGAGTCAGTTTGGTGGACACCTTGGAGATAAGCAAAAAAATCATAACATACTGGAATGAGCAGTGGATCAATGCTGTTCTTATGCTTCTTTTTCTACAGTTCAATATGTTTAACAGACTTTTTCAAAGCAAGACGCTGGTCTCAACTTAGAGTAAAGAGAACTCTGGAGTTTCATGTAGGTCAGTCCATTTCTCACTGTACATACGTGCTGATAGCATTGTTATCCATCAGTGACAACAGTGCGTCCTAAATATTCTCTTCACAGGAGCGGGAGAAAGCATGCTTCACATTCTTCACACCAGCAAGTCCTGGAGCAGGCATGTGAGACCGGGCAGCATCTGTTGCTCGGTCGCACCGCAGCCTGTGGCCTGTGTACTACTGCGTGGACCAGCAATGAATAATATATATATATATACAAAAACTATATATATATATATATCACTTGTTCACTTTCAAAATGCAGTATTTTATCTCAGTAAGATTAATGAGATGATTCGTTTCAATAAAAAAAGCATTAGATGTAATTTATAAAATCCCTGAATAAATATCTCTTAACTATGTTCTTTAAATATCTACCTATTTAAATAAACATGAAAGTAGTAGTAACAACAAGACTCAAATACTATGGATTAGTTGGTACTGATATCAATATAAGTCGACGTTTTGTACAAATTTACACTAAATAACTCAGCTTTTCATGTGCATTTAAAGTCATATATCAAGAAATAGGAAATTCAACGATACGGAAAGACTGTTACAAGTTTTAGCAAACTTTATAGCTTAATTTATAATTACAAGAAATAAATTATGACAAAAATAACATTAGACAAAAAATATTCATGACGGTGTCATATATAGCTGAATGATGGCCAACATAAAAAGGAAGTATTTAACGTGGGTAGAAGTAGAAACACAAGACCACGTACCAACACTGAAAAGCACAAAATTCTTGATTGGCTTGAACACATCACATAACAATAGAAATAATAAATTATTTTCAACTAGGGCCGTTCAAAACGTAATAATAAACGGCTGAACATCCGTTTATTATTACGTTGCATATGGTTTTGAAAATATTCTAATTTTTATACATTTTTCTTTTAAATTAGACTATTAATGCTTGGTTTTTTTCCCACATTCCTTTGTTTACGTGGGTTTCTTTATTATTATTATTTTTTTTTTACAAACTACTGCAACAGCATAAACGTATGTTTAAACGACTTACCACTGACTGGTGAGATTCTAAAGACCACGATGTTAAACTGGAAGACGATGAGCAGCCCCTTTATCACGCGAAGAGTCCACGTACTCACCATCCTTCCACTGGTAAAAAGTTTACAATTTGACAGGAATTCACTCTGACAAAATGACAATACTGTAGAGTAGAAAATACCTTTAAAGAGAGCATAACCGTAAATGCCGCTACACTGCGATTTTCCGAACAGGTTACCGTTCTCCGGGTAAAGTGAAATGCGTCAACACCGTCAGTCCAATTGAAACTGGCTGAATGGCTGACATGACGCCGCCTTCTGGAGCTGTTGGACATTTCACCGCTGCTTAGATCTAAAACAAATCTAATATTTTAGGCAAAAACACACACACACACACACAAAGACGATAAATACATAATTGATATACTGTATATAAAGTGGAGTCTGAACCTGTTTGTCATAAAACAATTCTACTACTTCAAGTGATACTTAGGGTCCCTCTAGTGGTAGGGAGAGTAATCGTATTTACATTTGAATTCAAGGTAGGCCTTGTTGGCAGTATGTAATGACAAGAGCTAAACACAAAAACATAGCATACCCAAAATGTTGTTTTCAGAATGTACTTTCTCTGACATTTTGATTTCCTATATATGTAGAATCACATTGACTGTATTTTCATCCATGTGTACATGCCTAATTTAAACAAGTTGAGTACTTGGGATATGTAGCAGAACCTTCACATAAATGTATCCAAACAGTATTTTTTTTTTGCCAAAAACAAATGTCCAGATAAAGCATTCTGTAATAATCCTGATTCGAGACAATACAATTTTCAACTTGTTTTAATGCAGAGATGTATCACCCACAGTTTCTAATGGAATGAATAAAGAATTAACGCAATACCCCAAAAGTAAAAAAAAAAAAAAAGACCAAAACAAAACCTTAACATATAGAATTGTGACACTAGTCATAAGCACTTCAGGCTGTAATGTAACCAAGGCCAAAACAGTAATTGCAGGATTATTTAAAAAAAAAAAAAAAAAATCATATAATAGTTAAAGCAGGAGGTGTAAAAATGAAACATGGTTAGGAATATCTAGCTTTTCCAAATGTACAAAAGGACCAAGTCTTCTTAAAAATTGTTCTGTTCAAGCACTGGCTGTTTGTCAAAATGTTACACAAGAAATTATTTAAATAATGAACCATTATTAATCTATAGTTTTCAAACTTTTGAATACAAAATTTAAGACATGGTACATGGTTTGCTGAAAAGACAGTCATTTAACACAATAATTTGGAAAAGATACAAACCTAACACCCTGCAACATTGTGTGCCAACCATATAATCCTATGCCGAGTGATTGAGTGAAAAAAATCAGTACCTTCCCAAAATTGAAAAAAAAAAAAAAAACAACAAAAAAACAACCAAAAACAAAAAAACTTAAAACTTCAACAAACAGTAACTGTTGCTGCACAAAAATGAAGCTCCGACTACGGACGGAGCAGGTGTGGTATAAAACTAGTCTTAAATCAGTTTGCATTTTGGCAAGTACTTGACACAGATTGGCAAACAAGTTATCGTTACAGATACCTGGAGGCTAATCATCAGAGTTCTTATTATGATATGACCTAATGTCAGCAAAAAAGGGTTGTCTTTTTAAAGAAAGTAATATTTATTATTAGTTTCTGCAATCTTAGAAACACCACCTGATTTAGAATTTCTGGACAGTTCATTAAATTATATCACAACACCACTGTATTTATCAAAGCTACTCACAGAACGCTTATTTTTGTCAAAGATGTGGGTTGAATAAAAACAAACAAGTGTTTAATCCTTACACCCCAGGAGCTCAACATCAAAGATGAGTGTGGCGTTGGGAGGGATGACATCAGAGCATCCTTCAGAACCATACGCAAAGTCTGGTGAGCAGGTCAACTTTGCCCGCTCTCCAACACTCATCTGTGGATGAAGAAATAAAAGGAAGAACAATGACAACATTCATGTTTGGAGTGCAGATATGTCCTTAGAAACTTTTAAATGATGACAATGAAAAGTATCTAATTATGTCAGATACATATCAGATACATATTAAGTATATACACACACATGTATATACATACTATTTCCAAATAATGGATAGCAAAGGAATGATTAGGCTGTTGGTCTGTAAACACATTTTTGTAATCCATGTATATCTCTTGCTAAGTTGTGTGACTCATAATTGAAGTTAACAGCTCAGGTTTCCTTACCTTAGCTACTCCTTCATCCCAACCACGAATGACTTCACCATATCCAATCTTAAAAACAAAAGGCTGTCCTCGTGACCTGGAGGTGTCAAACATCTTTCCATTTGTCAGCCTTCCTGTTTAACAACATGTGTGTATTTTTATAAGAAAAGATTAGTAATAAGTCGCAAAACAGTATTCATCCAATGGTGATTTAGTATTTTTTAAATATTTAACTTAATATATTTGAACTATGTAGTTAAAGGCATCATTATTCATTCGTAACTAATGTGGCGTCATTAAATTTCTTCCCTCAATTGAAATGTAAGAAGAACTGTGACACCCCTGTCATTTCCGTAACATGAAGGACACTTCCGGTTTGACTCTGCGCCTTCAGTTGGCATTCGAGTGGCTACTCCTTCTTTGATTATACGGTCTATTCAGCACGCTGCCCTGCTCAATGTGTATTGACAATATTCTTACATAGAGACACATGTTTAAAAGAACAACTTGAAGCATATTGCCTAGAGAGCATTGGCTCACGAAAAACAGTTATACCACATATCACAAAATCACACACGTTCTACAAATAAACCAAAAAGTAAATCAATTGGGCGTGTGTTCGACGTTTATGTTGAGGCTACACCCAGCTAAACCGTTAGCATTGTCGAGCAAACTGGATTTACAAACATGCATTTCGGCAACGTAACCCGGGATTTATTGGCACACACCCGAGTTTATTTGACATAGGATTTTCACAAATACAAGAATTGACAAAATATGTCTTCTTTTACATCTATCCGGCTTCTATAAAGACTCGGTGCTAACCTAATGGAAGCTAAAGGAACCTTAGCTTACCGATACCTAGCACTGCGGTCGTCTCGGCCGACTCAGATAAAAACACAAATACAATTCAGAAACTTAAATAAATTCGTCCCCATGCATTAGCTAAATTGGTGAAAAGACAATGTATGAGACAAAATCTGTATTTTCCCAATCCAAGTGAATGAACGCCGTCTTACCTTCATAGTGCACCTGGACTCTCTGCCCTCTCTTTGGAAAAGTCTTTCCTAAAAAGAGAAAAAACAGGTTTAAACGCCTCTATGTTTCACAGAAACCACATTGTATGTATTCGATGGAAAAACAAGAAGAATTATCACCATCTCCAGGTCTTAATGTCTCGACTTCGACACCCATTGTTCTTATTTTTCCGTGCGGCCGAGTGTCTGAGTGTGTGCGAGAAGCAGCAACTGTGCGCGCGCGCGTGTCTGTGTGTAAGAGGGAGTGGCTATGGATGAGGTCACGTGTTCAAAAGAGACCAAGCCTTCAGTTGCACTAAGCTTTAATGACAGACCTACAGTAATAATGCACAGGAAATAGACCGACTAAATAATCATGTGTCAAGGAGGTGTCAATACCGTATTTACACAAGAGGGCCTGATACATGCGGCACCCTTCAGGAGGAAGAAACACAGGAGAGCTAGCATGGGCAAAGATGACAGACCGCAGTTTGAAATGCAGCCCCAAACCATCACAATGACTTAAAAGTGCCTGAATGTACTAACTTAAATAATAAAAATAATTGTTGCTTTTCATTTTGTACAGAAAATGTATCAAGACCTGACTTGAGTACCATAAACCCCTACAAACATTTAATTTTTTAACGTGTACAGCACATATTACTAATAATAGTTTTTGTTAACGAGAGCCAAACGTCTTATCTAGCTAAATTCTAACCACTATTATTGTTGCTCTTGATCAAGCTATAACAACAACAAGAATAATGGCAATACTGACAGCAATAACAATAACAACTTCTGGACATTTCAGGCATCAGAATGACTAAATGTTGGCGACTGGTCATACAATTGGTTGTCAAAAGAAAAGTCATTTTGATGTTCTTCTGTGCTCTGAAAAAAGAAAAACAGCAGATATTTTATCATCTGAAAAGTCAGTACACATTGATGTCGTTTGTGATCTACTTTCATACATTGGTTTGACAGTTAAGGTCGATCACTGAGTTTTCATCAATCCCACTTCTGTTTTCATTTCTCCTAAGAAATAAAAGCAAAAATGTTAATTAACCATGAACACGAACTTCTTGTGTTATTCCTTAACCACAGACGTACTTACTTTGCCCTCCATTTCTTGTTTAGAAAAAAGAGTAGGAAGCAGAAGACAAAACCGGCCAGCAGGGTAAAAATTACTGCGAGAACTATGGACACAGTATCTGAAGAGAGAAAATCATTGTTAAATTCTAACCTTTAAACTTTAATTAAATCATTTTGAATGAATTAAAAAAGAACAACCCTCAAACCATTATTTATTTACTGCATGTCTTTAGTTGCAAAAGTAATTATTCTGTGCTCTACAGTTTCATTAATGTTACCATGTCCATTGGAAGGAGGGTTGATAGGAGGCTCGAAGCTGCAGCTGCCAGGAGAAATTCTAATATCATCCAGAGCAACATCCCCGCTTGGATTGCTGCCCCTCTGATATACAAACACAAACTGATGAAGAAATAAAATGAGAAAATTAGAATATTGAGATGCACTTTCTCTCTGTAGAACAACCTCTATGAACTATTTTACTTTACTTTAAAACACTTATTCATCGTAAATTAAACTATTCTAATCTCACAATTACCCAGAATGCTTCTTCGTGTTTAAAATAGACATTGGCCATCTTCCACTGGTCTCCCTTGTTTCCTGTCTCAGTCCACTTCAGAATGCCTTCTTCATTTCCCCCATTTTGCATTTTTCTGTAAGAAAAAAAATCAGATAAAAAAAACATCAACAAAAAATGTACAATTTGTTTAATAAAACAATTCAGGCAAGTGATTCAGCGCTTTACCGGTCATTTATGTAAACTCTGAGAGTCCCAACATGGTCGCCTTTCATGTGGTACCAAAACGTCAAACAGTGCCCTCCGGTGGACCACTGGAACACTTCACTAACCAAAAAGGACCGATCTCCCCACTCACCCACTGTGCAGTCCACATAAAGATAGTGTCCTGGTGAAATATCATAAAAAATGTATAAACTGATGTTACCAGTCAACACAGAAGGATTTTAAAGAACTGATAATGATAAAACAGTATTAGTTGTCCTTTACTGTTACAAAGACACCTCTTATTAAATAGAACATACTATTTACAATTTTATTTGGGGTGAATTTATTTTTTGGTATTTCTAAATAATATGGTGCAATAACTATTAAGAAATATAAGCATTAAAAGACTTATTTATACATTATTGTGCAAGAGTAAACATATCATGAGAGCTGCAGATAAAACGTGATTACCTACTACGATAGTTCTCAAAAAATGATTTAAATCAATATGTAATAAAACATATGATAAAAAAGTCACCTTTAAAACTACAAAAGTAACTGCTGTTATTTTTTTATTATGTAATTATATAATTATTATGTCAATCAGTCTTATTCCAGCTATTACCAACCGTGTGTCGTATTGGTGGTGTGATCAAAACTAGGCCCCGTGTGGGGGTGGGAGGAGCCTCCTGAGCCACGGAGCCAGTCTCCTTGATCCACTCCGTCACCCAGGTTGCTCCAGCTACACATGTTGATTTCAAAGTCACAAAATTCTGGAGCAGGACACCGATCCTCCGTCAGCTGTACATCATCAAAAGCCATGTCTCCCTCCTGGGTGGGGCCAAGTTTCACACCTTCCACCACAATCTGAATTTCATATACATACATACATATATATATTTATATTTATATAACATTAAGACATGTTTCAACAACATTAAGAATGGGATTGTGTTGCTTCTGTCTTGGGTCAGGGCTCCTTTAGAACAGAGCACTCATATCTCAGGGGGAACACCCTGGTTAAATAAACGTCAATTTTCAACATTTTAAAAAAGGTGCAGTGCAGTCACCACCATCTCTCTCCCCTTCATTCCAGCTGACCTCTTCGCTGTGGCTTGACTTTTGTGTCTTACCTTGTACGGCTGTTCTCGAGGCAGAAGTGAAGCCTGAGTGAACCTCCACATCCTGCCGTGGTCTCCTGTCTGAGAGAGAATCAAAGCTGCCTGTCCTCCCTCACTCTGCTGGTAAACATTCAGCGTCCCCACGCCTTGGCCATACAGGTGGTACCACAGTTGTACACACGCTCCTTTCCCTGAGGGGCCGTGGAAGTAAAACAACACAAAAATGTGATTACGTTAGTAGAAGTTTATTTTTTCCACCCAGTTATAGCCCCTAACCCACTCTGACCTGCAGGATATAGAGGTGAAGACATTGCAGCCGTCTGGTGGGCATGGTCAGCAGCAGAAGACGGCAGGTAGTAATAGTGACCAACAGATGTGTCAGTAGTGTGGTCTGCATCTGGACCTGTGTTGGGGTTGTTCATGGAGCCAGACTTCCTGACCCAGTCATAGTCATCGTTGGTGTGCTGCTGCCAGTCACAAGTCCCCTCCTCAAAGTCACACAGATCTAAGACATCATAGTTTTGAATTTATTGTGGAAAATATGACTGTGTACTACATCCTGTCAGACAATGGCAAATATGACAGAAATCCAAGTTTGAAATAGCGTCTCAACGGCGTTTGTGGAAGCTTTAACTTCAGGTCAGACGCCTGGTTTGTTCTACAGGCCACTTTTCTATTCCACCAATATACCATGCAATTAATCAGACTAAAAAAAATACTAATCCTTGGACTCTGGGTGGCGTCTCTCTATAGCTTTAGCTTGATTACCAGATTTAGGACAGGGCCCGCTGCTGACCCCAATGTCATCAATGGCAATGTCTCCTGCCCGTCCTCCGACAGAAGCCTCTAGAACCACTTGGTGGACTTGCTGTAGTGTCACATGACTCTGCATCAACAGCCACTCGTCCTCTTGATTTCCTGATTTTTGCCACACCTACAGGAAAGACAGGAGGCTGATTCACTTGTTGCAATGAGGATGTGAGGAGGTTTTTGCAACACAGCAGTATGCAAACTGTGCAACCCAAATCCAGCATACCATACATTAATGTTGTTGTGCAATTGGCATTTCACAATGACCTTAAAAGTATGTCAACAAAGAGCGATATTTCGCAATCGGATTCACCAATATTTTTTTTTCTGGCATTGAGAGGAAGTATTGTTTCTGTTATTGTTTTGATAATTAAATTTGTAATATTTTACCAGTGTTTTCTTTAATGGATTAGCTGTCTGCAGAAACATCTTCAAGGAGCCCACTGTGGCACCAAACATGTGGTAACGTAGTGTAAAACAGTATCCCTCTTCTCCAGCAGGTGGCAGCAGCAAAGACTTTAGTTGGGCCATTTTGCCCTTAGTATGTGGAAGAAAACTGTCGACGTAAAGGTACCTTCCTGTTGAACAACAAACAACATTGCCTTCATCATGACTATGGAATTTGGGCATTTCTTGACTATCGACTTTTCAGGACCACATTGACCTTTGCTGGTTGTGTGGTCTCCTGCTGGTCCAGTGTTGGGGGTTTCAGTGGGACCTGACATTAGGAACCAGTCCAACTCATCTTCAGCCCCTTGCATCCAAACACACAGACCTTCTTCAAATGAACAGTCATATGCAGAGAGAGCTGAGGAGGAGACGCAAAACATTAGAATTACAAAATCCTCCTGAAATCAAGACTGTAAACAGGACATGGGATAAAACACAACATATAATGTTAATGTTTATGAACCCATTTCCTGTTGAGGAGCCTAATTTACCTGGTGGTTGATAGGATTGGTTACAGTTTACAAAAGCGATATCATCCACTGCAAATATACCAGGTGCCGTTTCTGTGGCACCCTGGGCTGCACTAAACAAAATCTATGAAGAAAAACAAACCCAAGGTTAAACTGACATCCCTGTCTGTTCAGACCTAAAAATATACAAAAGAAGTGAGAAGAAATCAATTAAAATACTGCACATTTAGGTACATTCATGCAGAAATGTGGTTCAAAAGGACAAAACTTCAACAGATCATTTGACAACAGGGTTGTATATAAGTACTAAATGTGTTACATGTAACAGTCTGAAAACAATAAAAATGTCTGTAACATTTTTGCTTATTTCTATCTCTTTTTATTCACAATATCAATCATTTGTTTATTTTTAGTGGTACATTACTGATGCTAACAACTGCGACTACAGGTGCTTTACAAGATGAAGCCAGAGATGTCTCCAAACACATCGGTCTATATATTGACATATCGACCCTGTGTTCAAAGATTCTAATTAAATGCTGTGTCTTGTGCAAATACCTTATAAGGCTGATGGTGCAGGCCTAAGAACAGAGACTCTGTAGTCCAATTGGAGACAGTTTTGTGACTGTGTGACCACAGGATTGCTTCACTGCCTCCAGCTTGCTGCATAAGCACTCTGAGTGACCCAGTACTCTCTGCACTGATGTGGAAGTGAAACCTGGGTGTAGGAAAGAAGGAAGGAAGAAGGGGAGAGTGTTGGATTGGGAAGACAGTTGAGTGCTAAAAAATGGGGGGAGGTTTAGGCGAGCATTAAGCAATTCATTCTTTTTTTAAAATCCGAATTCATGTAACTTTGATGATCACGCCCAATGTAATCACTCACAGAATCTGGCAGTAGGGGGACGAAGGAGGGAGCGGGGGACTCTGGAGCCGAGCCTCCGTCTCTGCGGTTCTCTGACTGATATTCACTTTCATGTAAAAGCCTGTGGAGAACAGGTCACAGCCTGATCAACTGAGCTGACTCTCAAACATGCTGATTCAGCAGCTGAGTTATCATCGTTAACAACTGGACCAACCGATCATTCAGTCAGCCAGTCAGTCCCACCACTCTAGCCCGCAGTCACCTGTTTGTGTAGTGTGATCAGTGGGTGGCACGCTGGTGATACTGGCTTTCTGTCGCTGCCACTTGATCTGTCCTTCACTGGTGTCACTCCACTGGCACTGATCTTTCTCAAATGTGCATGGACCTTAAGTGTCATTAAAAAAAAATCAGCGAGTAAGACTGATGGCAAAGAAAGGATAGTAATAATTGGAAAGTGGAAGGTGAAGTACTTGTCATGTTCTTTAATAAATTTGTTCATGAGATAATAACATCTCTGTGAATGGGTGTATATTTGTGAAAACATTTTTAAATGGACTTTTCCTTAATAAAACAGTGAGGCAGCCAACTGGCTGTTTTAACATGTTAATTAATCATGATTAATCGTAATAAATTCTCAGCTACTGTGGGATTAATCAGAGAAAAAATCTTAAGTGTTATGTTGCTAGTAATCGAAACTCGTCAGGACTAAATCAAACAGTGAACGTAAAACAAACTGCATCTGCTGAATGTCATTCAGGATCAGTCATTGTAATTCTCCATACTGCACATTATGATCTCTGCACCTCGATTTTCTTATTCATTTTGAGAGTGTGCAAACTTATATAGAACAAATGCAAAGTCACGTTAATAACAGCAAAGACTCCCTGTCGGTTTTACCAAGCGCTCATTTCGATTGTTACCCCAATTTGTTCACAAACTAGGAATTACATCCAGTATCCTCTGGACACCCTACGTTCCAGCAGTGGACTACTAATAAAGCCACTTGTCAATTTTACTGCCCTGTTCCACAGCCTGTTTAAATCAAAGCAAAAAAAAAATGTTCTCACCACAGCCGTCCTCATCCTCCCCCTGAGAACAGTCTGTATGATAATCACACCGCTTGCTGGAAAGAATACACTCTTTTCCGGCAGATGCCCAACAGAAAAACTCATTTTCCTACAACGTTGAAGACAGAAAGACAGACCACACAGCCTGGATGACTTAAACAATGAGTTGCTTTTAAAAAATGTTTCACCTGTCACTCACATATTGTCTTACCTGACAGGGTGTGACCGCTGTTGTAGGTGGTGTTGAGGTTGGCGGTGGGTCTGGGAGCTGGTTGTTGTCAGCATCAAACACACACTCTTTGGAGAACGAAATGTCGTCCAGTGCAATCGTCCCTTGCTTTCCATCACCCAGTTCATATCTGAAGACGATCTGTGACAAAAGCAAAAGATGAAGAACTTTTGGATTTGACTCTGTCTTCACAATAAAAAGTATTTTTACTCGGAAATATCACTGATAAAACACACTTTAATTGGTCAAATATAACGTATGAAACACAAGTAATGCAAGACGTGAAGTCGCACTTAGAAAACAGATTACATTAACATGTTTTGTTTATTTGAGTGAGGATCTATGATCCTCCAACTGTACTTTGTACAGTGACAATAAAAGATGATACTGCTTCTGAATCTGGAACTGCTGTAGTGACATGCGACAAGTGAACCTTTATCTCCCACAATCCTCTCTCTGTCTCTTCACTGACCTTGCTGTTGGATGACGATGAGAACGTGACTTCTGCTCTCTGCCAACTGTAGCTCTGCGACTTCTCCTGCAGCCACAGGGCTGCGTCTCCACTTCCAGACGACCATGTCCTCGACAGGGCTGACAGTCCAGCTGCAGCCGTGTCGTTCAGACTGAAGTAGAAGAATCTCATCTGCAAACATTAAAAAAGACGGTTTTAAAAAAAAGCCCTGTGAACTGCGACGAACCTGCAGCAGTGGTTAATGATGTACTACTGCACACCCATGGAGCTGAGATAAGAGCAATGCTGATAACTGTCACTTCATGCAACACTTTATCACTGTAATATATTCTATTATATATTTCTTTCATCTAGTAAGAACAGCAATGGTATGAATTTACGTCTTCCTGTCTTTTAGACAGACACGGTTTCTAATCATCATAGCAGATCTCACTACTGTCTTGTCAGCGATTCTTTCCAATTTTGCCTCAATCTTTTTCTAACAAATCTCCACTGACGCTCTGCTACAGTACAACAAAAATAAAGTAAATAAATCATAGTCAATCATAGAGTCATATTTGATGTAATGTAGAAAGTAATGAACTCACAGTGCAGTTCAAACTGGGTAGTAAAGTCTTAGAGACAATCTCTGATGTCTCGCCCTTGGTGCTGAGGTGAGTCCCTGGTACAATATAGGAACCTGGACCAAAACACAGGCTGTGTAGTCAGAAATGTATTCTGGATGTATTTGAAAAGTATGTTTATACTTGGTACAGGCCCAGTTAAGGCTTTCAGAGTTTAAAACCTGCAGCAAAATTGTGTGTGTGATCCCGTGGAGGCCCTAGGTTGGGCCACGCCTCCTGGCCTGCGTGCACCTTCCACTCATCTCCAGGTTTGTCCCCTTCACTCTCCGCCCAGGAACACAGGCCTCGTTCGAAACTGCAGCGTTCCACTACACCGTGACGCTCTGCAGGATTCAAGGTGACATCAAAACAGTCAGCGAAAGACAGGAAGACGGATGTAAAAAAAAAGAGTTAGGGCAGTTAAAGTTCATTTTGGAAAGTTGAAATCCAAAAAAGAAGGTCTTTAAATATAAGAATATATTAAACCAGAGAAATCCTTTAAAGAATGAACAGAAATGTAATGTTTTGTTCCATCTATGTTTCCACATGCTTTATCAAAAATATCTTTATTTACAAAAGATTAGTGTTGGTTAACATTTCTAAACAGCCAATCCTTTACCAGGTTACAGCTCACCACAGTGTCTCTCATCAGACCAATCGCCACAGTCATCACTGAAGTCACACACTTGATTGTGCTCTACACACGCACTGTTGTTGCACGTGAACATATTCTCTGGACACTGAGGTTGTGGCTCTGTGATGGAACATGACACATTGTGTTATTAAACCAAATCAAGTAAATAAATCAAAAAATCTGCCACAATCTTGTTGGTGTTTACAGTGCGATGTTTACCAGGAAGACTGCAGTTTGTAAAGCTTATGTCATCAATGGCCAGGTGTCCAGGCTTATTGAATGTTCTGGAAGCTGAAAACAGGAAGTTGAAGTCCTGAGGAATTCTCCCAACCACTACTTCACCGTGTTGCCACAGGTTTCCGTGGCCACCTGAGCGCCACCACAGAGCTGTGGACCTAGAGCCTCTTTCAACCAACAGGCTCAGCTCTTTATGGTCTGGAACGGAGAACGTGGTAAAACAAATAAAGAAAAAAAAAATTTAAAAAGAAAATCTGTTTTCACAGCATTTACAAAAGCATGTGCACATGCAAAGCATACCTTCTCCATACATGTTGTAGTAGAAGTGTAAAGTGCAGGTGGTGCTAGCGTGTGACATCATGGGACCCTGTAGGGCCGCAGGTGTAATCTGGTCTCCTGTATCAGGCTCCACAGCCATGTACCAACCTGGAGGAGTCAGATAAGAATTCTAAGAAAAGCATTTATGTAGGATAATGAATGAAGGGAAACGTCAATACTGAACAAGAAAGTCATAAAAAGAGGTGTTGTGTATGACTGAAAAAGTGCTGGTTTAAGTTCAAGTGTTTCATCAACATAATTAAAGCTTAGTTACCACAACTAGAGTAAACATGCACACATTTTTGGGTGATATCAAAAGTTGATCTTTTTTTTTTTCATTACCCAGATCAGTGCCAAGTGTGTGGTCCACAGGTGGTCCAGTGTTCCCTGTAGCATTTCTTCCTCTCACCCACTGGGACTGGCCGACACTCTTGTCCTCCCAGTGACATGTGCCAGTTTCAAATGTGCAGCCCTCAAGTCCTGAACTTGTTTCATTGACTATAAATAACATAACATACATTATTTTAAATGTTTGATCAAATTCACTCAAAAACAAAAAAAAAAAAAACAAAAAAAACATGAGCAATGAAATGTCATTACCTTTACACTGCCCTGGTGTGACGATGACATCATCAATGGCAGTGAATCCTCCACCGGAAGCTTCTCCCTCGATCAGCAGCTGAGTGTGAAGTTGAAGATTCTGTGAATTATTTTCTTAACTCTTTTTTTAATCTAACATTTTATTTGTTTTGGGGTTACCTGAAAAGGTTTGGTTATGTTCACGGTCTGAGAGAACCTGCTCCACCTCTGCAGACTGCTGTTGGCGTGAAAAATCAATTCCCGGTCGGCTCTGCTTCGATTAAACTGCACATACACTCGCAACGTCCCAGATTCACTGGAAACAGCAGGCAGCGGAGGGTGGGTTAGGTCGGTCATTTTTAGGTACACAGACTTTGGTTTATCAACATGGTAAAACTGCATTTCAAATGAGTCCCATGCGAAGCCTGAACTTTGACACAGTGCAGTCTGGGTCTTGCACAAAGGGAGGCAGATGACTAGCGACTAAATGACATTTGTGTGCACTTCCTGAGGAAGTTTAGAAAGACCCTATGCAGCATAAACAGGATAAAGTGCATCCTCCGCATGGTGATGTGAGAAGTGTGCGTGGACCACTCCTGTCTGCTCACCTGCTGTCTGTGTAGTACCACAAACTGACACAGTAAGCCGTGTCTTTGGGATAAATCCACTCCGACACCACTTGTGCTAGACTGCTGTTGTCCAGGTGAGGTGATGAGCTCAGCAGAAAATTACCTGCAAGAGAATACGAAAAGTTAAAAACGTAAAAACGTCTTCACAAATGTGAACCCAAAAACATTAAATACCTACACTGCAGTAGTCCGGTTTATAAAAAAGAAGCGTTTGGTGTCAGTTATAGATAGAGAAAAAAGGGGTTAAACTAAAGAAATTAAAGTTCATTTTTTTTGGTACCTTCTGGGGTCTGAGTGGTGTGGTCTGTCGAAGGACCATGAAAGCCACCATTAGCCGGGAACCAGTCATGCCCATCTTCTCTGGGGATATTGATCCAGTTGCATTGCCCAGACTCAAAGTCGCAGCTAACTGGAGGATGACAAGCCCCAGTGCTCACTGAAATATCGTCTAGTTTTACTGTAGTGGTACTGCCCGGTACATGGGTAGTTGAAAATACCACCTGGTAAAGCATGTAAAGAGTTTTGGGTTATGTGTATTTGGAAAGAAATGTATTTGTTAACCAACAGAAATAAAAGGTTCTTTTGAAAGTTAATGCAATGTGAATAAAACATACATGGAATTTCCCTGGCGAGGACACAGTGACCTCTGCTACCTCCCAGTCTGTGGACGGCACTCCAGAGCTTTGCCAAAGGGCATCACCTACTGACCCACTCCTCATCACATAAATCACTAGTTCATTAGAGGGGCTTGAAGGCAACCAGTACCTGAAGAAATACAGTCAATAAATACAATCAAATCCAATTTAAATTCAGACAAATGTGCCGTGTGTCCAGGAACAGTAGCTCACCAGAAACGCACACACATCTCTGTATCTGACGTGATCTCTGGTGTGAGCAGCTGAGCCTTCTTAGGGTTTGTACTATTTGTTGTCATTGCGGTCAAATAGAATCCTGCAAGAAAAGGCAGAATGTGAATAATTTTGAATTGACAAACCATTCTATTTTCCACACCAACAAAGAAATACCGAAATTTTAAAAAAGTGTCTGAAATGACTAAAGGAGGGTCTCGACCCCCTCTTTGGGAACCACTGCTACAAGAGAAGAGCACTGACCACGTCTGTGAGCAGTTTACACAAATGTACATAAAAAGCTGTCCTGATTAGTAGGTGGTGTGGCATTAAGAAAAGATGATTTTAGAGCATATTCAGTTAAACAAGAACTTTCCTTCTCACCATGTTCAGTTCCGTAAGAGTGATCCACCTGATGGTTGGTTCCTCTTTTCCGGTCCCAGTGACCCAGATGATTAACATCGTTTTGAAAGTCACAAAGGTTGGACTCAAACCCACAAACATCTAAAATGAAAATCTGTTGTTATCACGGGTAAAATTCTGTTCCCTTTTAATTTTCACAGTATTATTTTGTCTCTGTGTACTCTGGGTATGGCAGGCTCCCTCCCTCACTGTGACATCATCGATGGCGATAAATCCTTGGCTCTTATTTTTTCTATGGCCAGTGAACATTATCTGTAAAAGAAGGAAGAACGCATATATTCGTATCCTAAGCAATCAACTTGGATCAAGAGATATTTTTCTACATTTATGTATTTCCACAGACTTGACTGGCTCAGTGGGACGTTAGTAAGACAAAAATTAAAGCACAACTGGTCATGCACTTAAAAAGACATTCAGTATAAAAGTAGACATCGAGCAACAAGCAAACAAATTCTTACTAACAGAGCTGAATGTGAACAAATATGGTCTGACTACAATATATAAAATAAGGCACTTCAGTTACCAGAACAACTGCAAATTGTACTTTCATTCAGCACCTTACCCGCATGACATCATTCCCACTGATGGTAACTTGTGCGTTCATCCACTCTGGATTCTGTGTCGCCCTTCGAGTCCAGACCAACAGTTTGGAGGTTTCCTACAACAAACCACAGCAGAGCGTTTAATATTTCTATGAGCAAGATGACCAAATCAGAAAGTAGTCATGAAAACCAGGCACTTACCATCTGAACGCTCAGATCCAGGGTGGACACAGAAGGTCCGAGCATGTAATACCAGAATCCAACACAGATTTCAGAGTTGGCTTTCGCCACAGGAACAGAGATGACTGCTTTACCTTCAGCACTGGACCTGGATCCATTCAACAGCAGAAAGAAACCTAAAGAAAAAATAAGAACATGAAGAAGCCGTCATAATGTGGGAGTGCCTCTGAGGAAATTTCGATAACAAAAGCAGAAAAAGGCCAAAACATATCAGAACAAAAAAAGAGTGCACTCTCAAGCCATCTTTCTTAACAACATCTTTATTACGTACAAACTTAGGTCGTACCTTTCTAACTATACATTTTTAATACCTTCATTATTTCCCTGCGTATGATCATAGTCAGGTCCGTCCCACGATTGGTCCACAAGACGTCCACTGCTCAGAGTCCAGTTCAAACTGCCACTGTCCTCTTGGACCCAATTACACAGACCTGATAAACAAGATGAGAATTGAAATATTAAATACACTGTATATTTGTCAGTGACATGATCAGCAGACATCTTCATTTTAACACCAGAGTGAAAACAAATGTTGGCTCCAATCTCACACTGATGACCTTTTTATGCCACTTTATGCATTTACACAAATGGAATAAAAACTGCTTGCGGGTCACTGTCAGCTGAGAAGAATAAAATCTGTCAAATATGTAAGACCATAAAAGTGATTGCTTATCTGATACACGTTTCACCCTCTTGGTGAAAAGACAGTTTGAAAATACGTTCAAAATTAACATTTTGAGAACAAAAGAGGACGTTTTATCACTTTTATCATTTTTGAAGATCCATTTTATCACCTTGTTCAAATGTGCAATCCATGGCAGAGGGAGGTGACGGGGTGGTGGCGGTGGGAGGGACAGGGGTGGTTGTTGTGATGCTGTCATTGCAAGACTGGTCTCTAATGATGAAGATGTCATCCAGGGAAAAAATTTCCTCCACACCGCCAGGAAATGTTGCTTGTAAAACAATCTGTAAAATTTCAAAAAATAACAATGTAAACAATTATACTAATGCTTGTGTGTGCAGAAGCGTTCAGCCTCATAATCATAAAATCATAGGATTTAGGAGTCACACTCTTTTTAGGATAACACACAACAGTATATACACATACACACTGTAAAATGACTACACCTGACATTAGGTCAAATGTAGTTGAGTTTTCAAAAACCCATTCTACCTGGTGAGGCTCCAAAGAACTGTAATCCACCCTTTTTTGGATCCATGTCCCATCCAAAACTCCTCTTGTTTCATAAACAGCACGCAGTCCACTTGACTCATTTAGAAAAACTGTAAGTAACACAGTCGAAGGGCCTGGAAGAATCACAACAAAAGAAGGACAGATTATTATCAGATGAAAACGTGAAAATCAAAACAATGCCATTCATTCATATGCTGTAGCAGTGCAACATGTGTGGTAACGGAAAGGTTTAAAGTTTGGAGAATGAAGAGATTAATAAACTTACGCTCACTTCCCCACCCTTTCGATAAGTGCCAGAGTTCAAGGCAGGCTTTATCGACAGCCATCATCGTCTCACTCTCCAGGGAGGCTATCCTTCTATTGTTATTGCCAAGGAAAAACAAAAAGTGACCTGCAGAGAAGAAAGGCAACAACTTAAACAGCCTCCAAGTGTGCTTCTGGACGGGTGGTTGGGTGGATGGATGGAGTGTACTGAAGTACCTAAAGATGAACCTGTAGAGTGGTCGCTATCTGGGACTAACACACCAGCACTGTGGCCTGAGAGCCAGTCCCAGTAGACTCCAGACTCTGCTGGAGGATTGTTCACCCAACCACACAGGTCCATCTCAAAGTCACAAAAGCCTGGAGGAGTAAAACAGAGAACATACGGCATCTGTGCAGCAATTTACCTACCTACGATTTTTATCTTAGAGTTGTTTTCTTTATTATCTTCGAGCTATACGTATATGTAGCATCACCCACCTTCTGGGGGACAGGCACCATTCAGCACTGTCAGGTCATCGATGGCAATATCTCGTTCAAGCTCATTTCCAGCAGTCGCCTCAAAAATCACCTGCCATGCAATATTAAAAACTGATTTTTACAAATAATATGATCCAAGTTATTTCTCAAACCACAGCATCTCTTGTGTAAAAACATGACAAGACGATGTATCTACCTGATACACGGAACCTGGGCTGAGGAGCGTCACTCGTCCATGCCTCCAGTGTCTTCCCTGATCTCCACTTCGCTTCCAGAGCTGCTCATCCAGGCTCTCAAGGTACACAGTGAGTTCACCCGCTCCACTTCCCTCCATGTAGTACCAGAACATTAGACATTCTCCGTCAGGGGGAGTGGGCGGCAATACTGCTGTCCTGACTACAGCTGTTGACCCCAAGGAGTGATTCCACAACTGGGCACTTAGGTAATACCCTACATCAGAGTTTTGAGTCAACAAATGTAGTTTCTTGAGGAAAAAAAACAAAAACATTATTCAGATATTATTAGCAAACCTTCCTCTGTCCCCAGAGTGTGATCTTCTGTAGGGCCTGATGACACGGCTGGTAGGTCTGCTCCCCTCACTCGGCTCCAGGTGGAGTTTGACACCTGGGGCTGAAGTCCGCAGAGGGAACCTTGGAAAGTGCACTCTCTTTCAGGTGGACAAGAACCATCGGGGGTGCTGTTCACCACTATGTCATCGATCTCAATGATTCCTTGATCCCCGCCCACAACCGACTCTATAATGAACTGAAATTCAGATTGATTCAATTGCACATTCTTTAATGTTTGCACAGCTTCATTTGTGTAAGTAAAGTAGATGAAATAAATATAATGACCTGTATTGGCTTGTCAGTATCAAAGGTGAGGTCAGCAAAACGCCATATGTTTCCCTGGGTGCCACTTCTAATCCATATGACATCCTCTGCCTCACCTGGATGCTTTGTTATGAACTTCAGTGAACCTAGGACAAACCAACCACAACATGGCTAACAATTTAAAAATGATCAAAAATACCTGAGACCTGCAATAAAGATGTGTATTTAATAATTCATGTATAAGAAGTGAAAGTAAAACGCACCAATACTGTTGCCAAATATGCGATAGCTGAAGCTCACACATATATGACCTTTAGGTTGAGGGTAGCTGACGAGCCTGGCAGTTGATGAGACATTCAGAGTGGCTGAAGCCTTGATAAGCATGCAGAAATCTGTGGAAATGACCTGGTTAGAAATCCTGAAAAACACACACACATCCTGTGTCTTTGACCCTCAGTGATAGACCAATCAGTATTCAGAGGCCCCAGGTTCAGATCTCACCTTGATCAACTGTAGTGACATCATAACACCTTCTGCCTCCATTTATGTATGTATTTACTTAAACATGTGGGGTTCAGGTCAATGTGTTAATAAAGATGTTTTGAAATTGTGGAGAAAACCAGAATATAAAACATCACTTGTGGAGAAAACCAGAATATAAAACATGTATGGAAAATCACTGTTTTTTTGTGGTTAATTATGCCAATTGATAAAGTGTTTATTACCAAATTGATTCTGCTCAGTTAAACATAATAATGTCAAACGTTTGTTGGAGGTTACTTACTCTTCTGCTGGTCATCCTGAAACTCCCTGTTAGACCTTTTCCATAAAAGATTGGCGGTGTAGTCATGGTACCATGAACATGCATCCTTCTCAAAATCACAGGAGAGTCGATCTGACTCAGCGGGAACATCGCCCTCTCCGCAGTTTTCAAAGCGAATGTCATCCAACATATTATCATCAACTCCAAAAATGGATGGTGTTGAAAACAGCAGCTGTGGAAAAGTCGGTGTGTTTTATTCTAAGACTATGTGAAGAAGGACAGAGAATGAGCAGGGCAAAGCACTGGTTGAACATTTTTGTTTAACATTAGTGTGTGTGTGCGGTGTGTGTGTGTGTAATGACATTTCACCAACCTTGTATCCACCTGGCTGATTACCAAGAAAGACTGTGGCCATTGTCCATGTGTTTATTTTATCTGCACGGTCCTCCAGCAATACGTTTTCCACATCACCTCTGGTCATAAGTAGTTTAAGGCAATTTGAATAAAATCCTGAACCTATAACATTGCAGTAGTACCAGAAGCTGAAAAGAAAGTAACAGTCCTGTCATTAATATCATGTGTTATGTGCTAAACTAATTTGAAATATTTAACAAAGCCATAAAACGTATCAGGGAAAAAAGGTCCAAGTACCTGATTTGACATCCGAGGGCAGGTAGTTTGTCAACAGAGTATACCAAGTCAGATTTGGACTTGTTTGTGTACATAACGTGTCCTGTAAACAGCAGATAAATGAAACCCAAATGTACTTTGACATTAACCAGTGGTACTCATTGATTCATGACGTGAAGTTCATATTCACCCCATGGTTTTCCTGTGGTGTGGTCCCCCCCTGGTATGGACGTTGTGTTTACCATCAGTCGTTTCCAGCCATCGGAGCTGGAATTCCATCCACAGGAGTGAAGCTCAAAGTCACACGTGCCTCCAAAAGAAAAAAAGCAAAGCACAATAGTCATGGTTTAACTGAAAGTGAAAAAAAAGAGAAAGTAAAAGTGTGTCTCCTTATATCCTCCCTCGTCTAATTATAAACTTGTGATTTAAGATTGTATCCTCATTTGATTGTATTTTTACCTAAAAATGATTAAACATACAGTATATACTTAAAAATAAATCTGGAAAAATGGGGGCTACTACTACTTTCTAATTAAATGGAATTTCAAGTTAGTGTTTTAGAGGAGAAAAGATTCATTATCACATTCAAATTTAAAAACAACACTACAGTCTGAGTTAGGACCTAGTTTTTGAAAACAAAAATTATAGTTATAATAACAGTAGTAGTAGTAGTAGGGTTACTACTACTACTACTACTAATAATAATAATAAACAATTTACCACAGAACTCCTCATCAGATCCATCTTTACAATCCCACTTAAAGTCACACACCACTTCAGCATCCTGACATTCTTCAGATTTGCAAGTGAACTGCCCTTCAGTGCAGGACGACACAGTGACCAGCAGAGCTGTGAACAAAACTGTACAACGCAGGTTAAGAAGTGAAGAAGACATTATACACTCCATGCTAACAAATGTTCTCTCTGCACTTTTGAAATGTCATCAAGCCGCCAGGACACTGGAACTTTCCAATTCAATAAAAACCACAACACTGTGAACTTTACCACTATCAATGTCTTACGTGACCAGCGTGCATGTTAAACAGTGCACCATCAACCTATCACACTAATGCAAAGTCACAAAATAACACTTCACACCTGTGGTTTGTACGACTCTTACCTGAGAGAACAATCATCGCCTTCATGTCTACAGACACATGACAAAGAATTCTTGCTCGGTGCTTTTTGATTTTCCCTGGACCTGTCACCTCAGCTAACTTCACAGCGTGTGTCTGAATCGTTGGAAGGAAATTCAGTCTTTCCAGCAATTCAGCTCCATGTGTTCTTATCAGCTATGAATGGCTTAAAGTCCATGGTGTAGTCAGTAAACTGCATGTCCATCGCTTGTCTTTATGGCGGTTATTGCATGTCCGACTTTTATATTAGTTCAGATTTGGTGATAGTGACAGTGACAGTGATAGCACAGATCCGGAGTTATACAGTCGTTCATAGTCGAGCACGTATAAACAGAGCTGTGACCTTTGCATCAAATAAGATATTCTGTCTAGTGAAATCTGATGAGCAGACATATTGTTAGACAAGCCATTTTAATGTGATCAGTTCTACAGCGGAAGCCTCAAAATAGAAACTTGTCAATAAAGGTAATAATCATGTGCAACTGTGTTTTGAAAATGTTTTAAATTAACAGTTTCAGGTTTTACCCCAAAATGTATTTTAATTAAGTTTTATTATATATTTTCTTTGCATTTGTGGCCTGCAAAATAGTAATCTTACAGTTTATATACGGTAACTGCAGTCATCATTAATGCCAGCACGTTCTGTCTACTGCCACTACAGCCACGCTGAACATCATTAGAGACAGACATTTCCCACACTGTCAAAAACAAAGTTCAACATGGAAGACAGCACAACAGTCATTGATATTCTGGATATTTCAGCACAGTCTTCCTCACTAGAAGGCAGATTAAAAAGAGGAAGTGAAAATGCAAAATGCTATTATTGTTGTGAAGGAAGAGTGGGAGAACAAAACCTCAACATCTGAATGCATCTGTGCCCAAACAGGATACTGTGTTGCTACACTCAGGATGAACAACATGTTCTCTTTACCAATAATGCAATATATATATTTTTTTATTTTTTACAAAGAAGTATAAGAAATACAAAACGCCCACTTAACCCATTCAATATTTTTTAATTTTACAAGACTAATAACCAAGTTTGACTATTTCTTTTTGAATTGATCAATCATTTGAAAACAAGGATGATGTTGTCAGTGACATTGATTGTGTTTGTGTCTGAGTTTTGTAAACGATCGTTTCCACCTTTATAAGCTTTTGAGTCTGTTTGTGTACGGATTTGTGGTATAGCATGTATATTGTATATATTTTTACATTTCTGCTCTGTTCATTTATATAACAGGGATCTAGACTTTAAGAGAAATCCAGTGTAAGAGACCTGGCACTTCCCTCTGTCCAGGTTTACTCCTTCTGGCTGGGGCCAACGTGGGTAAAAATATTTACCAGTGTATAAAAAATTGCAGTAGAGGTCAGCAATGCATGTAAAAGTATGTAAATTAGATGGGAAATTGGTGGAATTTTAGCTCTCTAAAAGATTAATTATTTGATTGCTAGCTCTCAGTTTCTAAATAGTAAGTGGGAAATAATCTAAATAATCTAAAAAAAACAAAAAACAAAACAAAAACAAAAAAAAAAAAAAAAACAAAAAAAAAAAAAAAAAACAAAACAACAACACACAAAAAACATATAAAGGCAACTCAAGTACTAGCGAATGCTAGTTCAGACTCAAACATTATTACTGTTAAAATTTGATTTTAAAATAAACGTCTAAATCAGATGAGTCATGCTGAATGTGAATTTTTTACTTTTTTCTGCATCCCATACCCAGGAAGTTAATGGGGCCACTTTTGGCCCTCTTCCGAAAGTGTGACAAATGTGACAAATACTTCCTTCCAAACCCCCCTGTTTACCAAGAGCATGGGCTGAAATCTGCTGATCTGAGACATGACACGTACTCAAGGGGAAGGGAAGAAAGTGTCAGTGCTATTAAGATTCCCTTCCGTTCCATGACTGGGCTCATAAGTCCTGTGCTCACCGACAGTGTCTGCAGCTACAAGACTTATCAGAAGGATGTTGATTCCCAGATTAACCCTAGCAGCTGTTGCGCTCTCCATCCTCGTATCTCGATGTTCAACCGCCAACGGTACGGTACAACTTTATATTGACAACGTCTTTTCTTTATTGTAATTTCACCAATGACTTCTGGTTTTGTCAAAGAAAGGTCAGAAACATAACTTCACGCTGAACTTTTTCTCTTTGCAGACGGTCAATTTTCACTCATCAATAAAGCCACTGGTCTCTGTTTGTTAAAAAAGTTGAACCGTTGCCTGGAAATTCGTTGGACGACCGGCAACAGACTTTTTACCGTCATAACCAAGAAGTGCCTGGGAGCACAGGGCAAAAGTGTGGGCAGTGAGGTGAACCTGTACGACTGTGATGACAAGAGTGACCTTCAAAAGTGGGAATGTAGAAATGGAACACTCCTTGCTCTGAAAGGCAGATCCCTCTACATCGAGGTCAAATCAGACGAATCCATCGCTCTCTCCAAAACCATTGGCCCAAACAACGAACTCACCATCGCAGGGACTACCAGTGGTGCTTGCACAAGAACTCACAGAGGTAAGGTGTAAGAATTGTCTTGTCAAACCCAGCTGTAGTTGCAAAACCACAAGGATGAAGAAAATGATTCATCTCCACTCTGGCCAATCACAATCCATTCAGCACCTCTAGCATGTTGAGACTGCTTTTATTTTGTATTTTTATAGCATTCTAACTAAATAAGTAAATAAGTAACAGTGTAGACATTTGCACCTAATCTATCCATTTGATAAGCCTTCACATAACAGATGCAATAAAATGTGATTAAAAAAAACAAGACTGAAGGTAACAGATTTTCTCTTTCTCTTTTTCAGAGCTTTACACCCTTCAAGGAAATGCATTTGGAAAACTCTGCATGTTCCCCTTCTTTTACAAAGACCGCTGGTTCGGAGATTGTACCACATTTGACTCATCACAAAAACAACAGTGGTGCGCAGTTGAAACAAAGTATGAACATGAAATTTGGGGATATTGCCCGACCTCCTGTGAGTATTAAGCATTTTACCTATTTAACTGACAGTCAGCAGACGAACTAATGTACACTCAATGTCATCATTCACAGAACAAACAGCATCTTTTTCTGCATTCATTTCATTCATTCAAAAAGTAAATATATTGTTTTCTTGGTGAAATGTTTAAAAATATATTATTTCCTTCAGCAAAAGAACACTGGGCCAACAATCCAATCACAGGAGCTTATTACCAAGTCAACACACAGTCCGTTCTGACATGGTCCCAGGCTGAGACCAGCTGCAAACAGCAGGACTCCAACCTGGTCAGTTTTGTTGATCCCAATGAGCAGGCCTTCATCTCAGGTAAGGTGCCACCTGCTGGAGGTTCACTTAAACATTGAAACACTCCATGCAAGTTATTTTGCATTGTCAAGCTTTGCGTGACGCAGAATGTGATATTTTTGCTAAATATTTTGTTATTAGACAATGGTAATATTAGTAATAAACACCTGGTGTTTAATAAAAGCCCCATCATCAACCAGAAACATGATGTAAAATAATATTATGAATTCAGTGTTTTTGTCCAGTTGTGCCTGAACAAAAAAGAGGAAGATTCAACAGAAGAGGAACTCATTTGTATACGCTGTCCTTTTCCCCATTCTCACAAAACATATGCAGCGCTGATTGGATCTGCTAAATACAAACTTTGGATTGGTCTGGTCCTGGACCCAGATCGTGGCTGGATGTGGTCCAACGGGCGGCCGTTCCGTTACCTGCGATGGCATTCTGGTGAGTTTTTACTGAGCATTCAGATCGGTCTCTTTTCCTAAGCAATAAGAAAGGAAGGAAAGTGAACGACTCGTCATTGTGACACTGCACACCACCAAATGTGACCTCTGCTTTTAACCCATCACCAAAGTGAACAGTGGGCAGCTTTAAGCGCCCGGGGAGCAGTGTGTGTGGAGGGTGCCTTACTCAGAGCACCTCAGTTGTAACTTGGCAGCTGCTGGACTCGAACCTGAAGCCCAAGTCCGCTTCCTTAACCACTAAGCCACCACTGCCCCCCTATATTTTTTATTCTCGAACATCTTATAGTGATCGGTAATGCAGTATTACAATGCAGGGAATCTTTAGTGAGATCAGCGTCACTGTCTTTTTTTCTTAAGGAAATCCACTTCCTAACCCGGGACACAACTGTGCGTTTCTTGACAATACTGGTTTGCAATCATGGCAAACTTCATCCTGCAGCAAAAAAATGGGCTACGTCTGCTACAAGGGAGGAGCGCCGCCCACTCCACCACAAAGTAGGTACAAATGTCCAATAACCCTGTTTCAGCCTTTGTTACCTGAGTTAACACAAGATTTCACAACATTTGTGAAACTTGCTAATTTTTGCACTTGCTAAAATAACACTGTGACAGAAGATACAAATGTGCTTTATGCTGATTGTTTTCTGTGCATCAATCATCTCAACATATCTTTTTTAATAATCAGTTGAGCAGGGATTTTGCGCAACGCCGTGGATTCCCTACAATGGCCACTGCTTCCACCTTCATCGTACTCTCCAAACATGGACTGACGCTCAGAAAGAATGTCGCAAAGAAGAAGGAGACTTAGTGAGCATCCACAACATAGAAGAACAAAGCTTTGTCATCTCTCAGCTCGGATATGGTACGACACAACCTCATCGGCCAAACATGGCTCCCTTTGCCTGTCGTTTAATTCTGTACGAATTCAGAATAATGTATAAAACAAGAACAACTGCATCAATAACTTTTCAACAACGACTAAGTCTTAGCTCCTCGGATCTGTGTCCGTGTGTCCTGCAGCCTCCACTGATGAACTTTGGATTGGACTGAATGACAGAACAACAGAGGGTCTGTTTGACTGGAGTGACCACTCCACTGTCAGCTTCATCACCTGGGATAATGGAGAACCTGATGCGGCCACCGGCACAGAAGACTGTGTTCTCATCAGGGGCCAGGTAACCCAACACTACAGCAGTACCTGGGTCTACGTAAATGCAATCCTAATAACTTGGTACACAAGTAAATTAAGAGAAGAGTTACTCATATTCTTCAGAAAGCCTGATTCAATAACCTCCTGTTTGCACTGTCAACAAAAAGAACAATTGCTAAACTCCCTGGAAGTGAATCACAGACATTTAATTGAATTGATCAGCAATTTCCAAACTCTTGCCTCTTAGAAAACTCTTCACCAACAATTCTTAGAAATCATCACTGCTTTTTTTTTCTTTGTTCCAGGATGGAAACTGGGCTGACCGCTCATGTGATGAGAAACATGGCTTTATCTGTATGAAGCAGAGCAGCACTGAGCGCACAGGAGACGAAGTAGACCTGAATGTCGGCTGCAAACCAGTAAGTAAAGTTTTCCAGTCAACTGCGGTAATTCTTCACTGCACGTCCAAGGACTCAGCACAAAACACTCTTCCAATGTCCATCATAAGTGTTTCTTTTTATTTATTTATTTTTATTTTGTTTGTCTGATAACAGTTCAAATGTAGCCAAAATTGATATAAAGTGAAATGGGTTCAAGGTAAAAAAAATTAAAAAATTAACTAGAATATATTTATTATTAACCAGTGCACACATCTCCACAGGGTTGGAAGAGACATGGATCCTACTGCTACCTTGTGGCATCTCACACAAAGACCTTTGATGAAGCCAAAGACGACTGCAAGCAGTCAGGCTCCTACTTAGCGGATGTGTCCAATGGGTAGGCACATATGTGATGTTGTTGAAGGTGATGTTCCATCAATGGACGTAGTTTTAAAGGTGTAAAGTAACCAGTCTGTGTAAATGTTCACAGGGTAGACAACGCCTTTCTTGTCAGCTTAGTGGGGCTCAGACCAGAGAAGCATTTCTGGCTCGGACTCTCAAACCAGAAAAACATCGATCAGTTTGTGTGGACCAACACAGATTCAGTGAGCTTCACACACTGGAACGCTGAGATGCCAGGTATGTTCAAACCTAAACCGTCATAAAGACCATTAAGATCAACAACAGCGTCACAGCTGACACAGATACTGTTCCTTCACATCAACAACTTCAGGTTACAATCAGGGATGTGTTGCCATGACTACTGGAGTGTTGGCTGGACTCTGGGATCTGCTGCCCTGCACCAATCAGGAAAAATACATCTGCAAACACCTGGCAGAGGGCGCTGTGCTAACTGTCCCTCCACCCACTCAAAGTCCTCCAAAGTGTGCAGAGGGCTGGAATCCAGTGACATCAAGACCCTTCTGCAGCAAGGTACAACCAACCACACAGTGTGGTCCAGGGTGGAGCGTCATTCTAGATTCA